TCCTTCCTTCCTCCTTCCTCTTTAATCAATTTCCCATGAATAGTTACCCAAAATGCCAAGCTGGGGCTTGTTGCAGCCAGTTTTTTTTTTTTTTTTAACTTCTGTTTTTCTCTTTCAGAGTGTTTATAGAAGGTCTGTGTGTCAGAAGTCAGCCCTGTGGCAAGAGGCAAAGGCAGGGATGGGTGCCCACAAAGGCAGTATTATTTCCCAAGGCAGCCAGAGAATTGTGGATATTATCTTATTCATTCTTCCCAGATGGAAGACTAAGACCCAGAAAGACCCATAAAACTTGTCCCAAGATCACCCAGGGAGTTGATGCCGAAGCCAAGACTAGAACTCAGCTCTCCTGATCCTTACCAGAGTGTAATTTTCCTTTTAGAATGTTGATGCTCAAGAGCAGGAGCCCCAGTTAGGTGTCCCAGAACCCCAGGCAGGTAACAAAGAGGACAGCCAGGGTTAGAATTATAGAGAAACCATTATTTCCCAGGTGCAGGGATGCCTAAACAGAGTGACTTTGGGGAATGACAGGTCATTCTCTATGGGAGAATGAAGACAGAGATAAGAGACTGGCAGGCCTTGCACTGGTGAGGCTGGGGGGAACAGATCCAGAAGGATCTATAAGCTATGCTGAGGAGTTTGGATTTTTTTTTTGTAGACCATGGGTGGAGGAGGGACTTGATGGCCTTTAAGTAGGGGAGTGATGTGGTCAGATTGGAATTTTAGGAAGGCCCCTCCAGTGGCCAGACCAGGCAAGGTGGCCAGAGGACTTGGCAATGGAAGGCTTCTCTGGTGGTGACTGCCTATTTATATGTCTGGCTAGGTGCTGCCTCATTGGCAGGAGGTGACAACCCTAGCGATGCTGGACAGTGCGTGGTTCACTACTAAGGGTAGCCATGAGAAGCAGGAGTGAGGTGTGTTCAACTCACAAACCTCAAGCCCTTAGCCAACAATGTTACTCTCCAGGTGACAGAATAAGTAGCTGCTCTTGGGGTGAACCTGAGTGGTGATTCATTGCCCAAACTGCTGGCTGGGGTGGCGTACGTAGTGGTAGTGCACACGTGTGTATGTTGAGTGGGGCAAGAGAGGGGCCTGGGGATTGGGGAAAACCAGTCTTCTAAACACATGGGACAACTCCTATGGCTATGACCCAACAGGTGCTTGTTGACCTGTTCAGTCTTCTTGACTGTGGCAGTGTTTGTGGCCTAACAGCTGGTGGTAGGATAGGGCTGCAGCAAGAAACACAGCAACTGCAGAGGGGGCTTATTGATTTCCAGTCCTCATTCCAGAAGAGGATGGGACATGCTCAGACTGCCCCAAAGAGACAAGAGAAGAGTGCTGAAATACAAGTCCTGATAGGAAAGGGGACAAAGTGGATTAAATTCTAATAGACTGGCCTGGCACCTGATATTCATTGTTCCAAGATCCTCTTCTATCCATAGTCCTTTTTTTTTTTTTTTTTTAAGTTTTATTTATTTGAGTAATCTCTACATTCAATGTGGGGCTTGAACTCATGACCCCGAGATCAAGAGCTGTACACTCCTCTGACCAAGCCAGCCAAGTGCCCCTCCGTAGTCCTTTCTTACCTAGCTTTATTTTCAGCTTCCTATTGGTTCCTTATTATTTGCCTTTAGTGAAGCTCCTTTCAAAAACAACAAACCACTCCCCCCGCCAACCCCAAATCTTTTCCCCAATCCTCCCTGACTCAAGTTATTGTACTATTTCTCTTTCTTTCTTGCACCCTCAGCATTTGAGTGATATACACTCCTGTCTCCAATTCCTTACTCCCAGGCCCTCCTCTCCTGGTGTAATCTGCCTTCTTCCCATCACTTTTCTGACATTCTGCTTCCCAAGGATATCCATGACATTGGAAGTGTCTTCCTCAGTATCACCTTGAAGTGGTCTCTACAAATGAGTGGAAGGAATTAAAAAAAAAAAAACCCCGGGGCGCCTGGGTGGCGCAGTCGGTTAAGCGTCCGACTTCAGCCAGGTCACGATCTCGCGGTCCGGGAGTTCGAGCCCCGCGTCAGGCTCTGGGCTGATGGCTCGGAGCCTGGAGCCTGTTTCCGATTCTGTGTCTCCCTCTCTCTCTGCCCCTCCCCCGTTCATGCTCTGTCTCTCTCTGTCCAAAAATAAATAAATGTTGAAAAAAAAAAAATTAAAAAAAAAAACCCACAAAAAATGATTAGAAATTAGATTTCAATTTGTTTACCTGAACTGTTATAAAATTTTTGTTTTCTAACTATATAATATTTAGGATTATGCTTGCATTAAGTTTATAAGTAAGCATGACTAATATACATATAGTAATTTAGAAATAAACATGTAATAGTGTATATGCTAAAGACTTTACTGAAGGGGTACACTTAAAGACTATTTGGGGCTCACGACTTTTCAGGATAAAGCTAAAACCCTTTATTCTGGCATTCAAGGCTATTTTAGCCTCAAATGATTTTGTGGCTTCCTCTACTCCTTTTCCCTCTCTTTATCACATACCATGCTTTTAATTAGCTACTACACATCTTCCAATTTTACCAAAACATCATTTTAGGTCAAAGTATTTTGTACAAAGTAAATGTTCAATCAAATCTATTAAATCTCTCTGTAACATTATTGAAAATTTCCTTCTTGACTCCTCTCAAGGGCACTACCCTGGTTTTTCTCCTGCTGCTTTGACTACTTCTTCATTGGCTACTTCTTCTATATTCATTCTACAAATACTGCTAATATGTTATGGTGACAGGCACCAGAAATACCATGGTGAACAAGTAGACTAGGTCCCTTACCCCAAAGCTTAATCTTCCTCCTTTACCTGTCTCCATGTAGCTCACTCAGTTTGTCTATTTCTAGCTACTTGTTGAGTATTCCTCCCTGCAAATACTTCCATCCTCAGGTCTCAATTCATTGCTCCCCTCCTTAGATCTCTCCTGGCCTCCACATTCGGTTTCAATCTCCCTTGCATTGGCTCCTTTCTACATGCATTCCTAGTGATGCCACTTCCCAACCTGTATTAGAATCTAGAGGTAGTTTTCTAACTGCTGTTCCCGACTTTAGTCCATCCAAGTTGCCATTCATTCCGTGCCTTGCAGCCTAACTCATTATTTTACAAATTATTGCCAGATTTGCCTTTGAATGGATGGGAGGGGAAAGACATTGAGGGAAATTTGAGGCCTAATTTTGATCTGGCATTTAAACCACTTCACCTAACAAATTTTAGGGACTCCTCAAAGACCATTTGGCCTGGGTTTGAGGGATTAATTTAATTATCCACTCCCACCCTACTCTATGAAAACATGATTTGTGCTCTTTATCTCCAGAGGACAATGAACCTATTTCTGGGTCCTCACTAGGTCGTCCCTTTCCTGTCCTGGTCCCTCAGTCCAATGGTCTTCTCTTGGCTTGTCATTTAGTACACACTGGTTTGTTCTCTTTTAAATATTTGTTCTTTCTGTCCAGAGACACTGTGAACAGAAATGGGCCTTTGGTTTTTTAGTCTTAAGTATATTGAAGTTTACTGTGTTGTAAGCAGTGTTGTGCTTTACATACACGCTCTCATTTTTTTCCACAAGCCCAAGAGATGTGTACTTTTAACACCTCTATTTTATATAGAGGTTAACTAATTTGCCCAAGGCCACAACAGGCAGAACTCAAATTTGAACTCAGGTTTAACTCCAGAATGTGGGTTCCCTTCAGTGACTGCCTGCCTGACTCCACAGTTGTGTATAAAATGTATGGTAGGCCCCAATCTTACCTCCAGGGACTCTCAAAACCAGGTCTGTAGTTTAGAAAAAAAGAACAGATATCCTGTAGAGAATAAGCCTCAACAAATATTGTGTGGAATACTCCCCTCCCACAGGAATTTCTCTTTGCTGTTAGTGATCTCCCACAGTGCCTGGGGTTTGAACTAATCACTTTGGCACCTAATCGTTCACTGTCTTATATTGCTGTTTCTAGCGTGTCTTTGCCTAATGGTAGAGAATTTTTCTTCTCATGAAGTCTAGCCTAATCCTACTGGCTGGTGTGGACATAAGGCAACTAGGCCTTCGCAGCAAGATCTTCCTAATCCACCGGTGAAATCAGTGGCACTCAAATCTAAACGATTCGGGGTTTTGTTAAAAATGGTCTTCCTTTTAGATTTGGGGGGTGGGACCCAGGTATCTGCATTTTTAACACCATTTCAGACTACAGTCAACGGATCTGTCTACAATCCTGTGAGGCCTGCCTCATTTAGGCAGGATTATTTCCTGGTATGGTTTCTCTAACATTGCACACAGCTGAAGAGTTAGAAGCTGGGCCTCTTTTGTTTCTGGATTCACCACTTGGCAGGTGTAATAACATCCTCTGACAGGCTGTTTGCCACAGGTGCATGCTCGACACATGCGCCCCGCTGGTACCATCCCCCATTTTGTCCTGGTGCCCAAGACCCCTCCATCCCTACCACCACCCCTGCCCTCTTCCAAATCCTCAAACCCACCCTTGCCCCTTTCCCTCCCATCCCAGCTCCAGCCCAGCCCTTTTCCCTCCCCCACCTCTTCTCTGGGTTCCCCCCAGGCTCCTCCCACCTCAGAACATTTTTTTGTTCCTGGCTAAGAGTTTTCCCAGTGAGATTGGGGTGGGGGGTGGGGCTGGCAAGAGGGGAGGACACACTGCCATTCATCAGAATTTATACCGAATGGCCATACTTTTTCAGAGAAAACCCAGGTTTTCTACCAGAGAAATGGGCAGAGACCTCTCTCTGGAACTTGGCTGGAGGGATGTCACTCTCCGGGAGAGCCCCTCTGTCTGCAAATATCCCAAAGCAGGCCCAGCCTGCAATGTTCCTTTGTTGGGACAGAAAGGGAATGGAATCTTACCAATAGGTGAAAAGGGCTGGACAGAACACCAAGGATGGGCCCAACCTTCTCCCTACAAAGGCCTAACGCTAACAGGGAAGGGAAAAAAAAGCACCAACAAAGAGTTTAAGATAGTAGTTCCCAGCTTTTTCAAATATGAAGCATTTTTTAACCAATCCATTTTTTAATTTTTAAATTCTTGACATTACAGAACTAAACTGAAATTTATTAACATTCCACTCTTACATTTCTTATCGACAAACAGAAATAAAATTCATGAGCCAAAAACCCAAAACAAAACTAAAAACAGGGAAAAGCTTATAAAACTAAATATGGATCCCAGCATTAACAGCTGAACAGAGAATGTGATTTTTAAATTCTTAGCGGATGATAAAGTTGTGTAGAAACTGAACACTTACAAATTATTTAAAACCTGGAATCACTGACCAGAAATTACACAGTTGGATCATGGGAAAACAGCAGAAAGGGGTTATAAGTGAACCTACACTGTTCTAGCTGCACCCCATGCCCTTCTCAGAGGAAAGCCTGGCATTGATTAGATATTGGGCCAGACTAATACTGGCAGCAGAACCAGTGATAGTAACCTGCCTACCAGAAGAGCCTTCCACTGGATTGGCAATTTTGATCTGGGCCCCGGACATCTGGCGGATCTCATTAATGTTGGCGCCTTGGCGCCCGATTATGCAGCCAATTAAGTTATTTGGAATGGTGAGTTCATGGGTCGTTTGAGTAGATGCATCCAAACTTGCCCAATAGCCTTTCACCTCTGGAGAGCTGGAGTCAATTCCGGCGAATCCGGTCCCGCCGTGCATCATGGCAAAGTGAGACTGTTGTCTTGCCACCTGGTTCAGCTTGGCCAGATCGAGCGGAGAAATGGTGTGTTGTCCTTGAATCGAGTAGGCATCTAGAGGTGGTCCCTCCAGGTCATGGGTGGCATGGGGGTAGCCCGCAGCGTCGCTGCACCGATCTTGGCCGCCCGCACAGATGACTGGAGAGCTGGCCGGCATGGGCTGGTACGGAATGGTCATGACTCTCCCTTGCGGAGACTGGGAGAGCGTCTCCAGCATGACCAGGCAGATCTGCTTGACACACTCGGTGACAGACTGCGGCACGCCAGCAATGGTGATGGCTCGCTCGGTGGAGTTGGGCAGCATATCCCCCGCCACCTGGACCTGGGCCCCACTGTCTGCGGATCTCTTGATCTACCACCCGACCTTTCCCAATCAGGAGCCGACTGTGCCGTGTGCACCACCAAGCCTCACGGGGATGCCTGCTGGCCGCCGTGCTGTTGGTCATGGAGCTGTTAATATCTTCTTCCAGCTTGTCGATGATCATAGCGAAGGCCTTAAAGATGGCATTGGTGGGGCCGGTCAGTGATTCTCTCCGGACAATTCCCCTCCGAGATGTTGATCCGCGCGCCACTCTCCTCGCGGATCCTCTTAACCGACTCCCCTTTCTTCCCAATGATGCTTCCTACTTTCGCATAAGCACGAATGGTGAGAGTCACATTTAGTCCACTTTCAGTCACACCGGCATCCATGGCGAGCGGCGGGCGGCGTTCGGGGGAGTTGGGCTCGTTACGTGGTCAAGTCTTTGGTGGCTGGCGGGGGAGGGAGGGGGCAAAACTGCCGGCAAGGAGGCGAGGAGCCGCGAGCGAGCAGGCGCGGGCAGGGAGGCTGGCAGCAGCACAGGGGCGGGCGCGCGGCGGCGGAGAGTGAGCGAAGGAGCGGTGAGCGGCACGGCGGGCGGTGGGCGAGGGCGAGGCAGTGCTTGACTCCGGCTTGGCAACCTCGGCAGTCTGACAGGGGGGCAGGAAGCCCGCTTTCAACCCCGCGTACCCTCTGACCCCGGAAGTGCTTGCCGCGCAGGACCCCTTGAAAAAAACCGAGGACCCGTATTTTTTAGGTCACAAGATTGCGCCAACCTTCGCATGGTAGTTTAAAAAAAACTTTTTTAACAGCTTAGCATTGAAGATAAAGCCACGATGGGCAGAATCTGTGAGTCCGGCAAGGTTTTAAAACCAACGTACATTTTATTAACTCCAGCGGCACCGGCAGATGTTTGGGAATGTTAATGTTGTGAGTGGGGGCGACACATTATTTTCCCGCCTTACAAAAAGGGCTTGGATGCGGAGCGACACGGGCAGCCCCGGCGGTAACTGCAGGCGGCAGCTGGGACGCCGCCGGTTTAAAACGTGCGCGTGAGGCGGCTAGAGCGCGTGCGCGAGGGTGTGGGGAGACGGGAGGGGCAGCCGCGGTCTTCCGGGGGGGAGGGGCGGCGAGGCGAGGCTTGTGTGGTGGGCGCGTGCTCGCGCGCGCGCGCGCGTGGGCACGTGGGGCCCCTTCGCCCCAGGCGTCCGGGCGCCCCGTACCAGGCCCCCCACCCCTGTCCTGGTCTCCCCACGGCAGCTGGTGAGGAGAAAGACCGAAATCCACCCCTGCCACCGCTAGAGTCGCGGCTCTGTTGATGACTTCTGGGAAGTGTTGGAAACAGGGCCTTAAAAAAAGAATGGCGTCCATTTACATAATGCTTTGTTTGCATTTTGCAAGTTTCTTTCGGTTGAACCTACAGAAATCCCACAGTGTCGTTTTAGTCGTGGCAGTCTCGACAGGCATTTAGGACAATGGTGTGCTCCTTTTGGGACCGCATTTAGTCAGGGTTGCTGACTTAGTGCTTGGAGAATTCTTGCGATTTCCCCCCACACTCTTCACTTTCCCGCTTCTGCGTTTCGGCCTTTCCCCCGTTTCCCCTTTTGGTGCGATCGCCTCGCCCCGCTCCCCTTGGGGGCGGCCCCTGTCGGGCCCCGCCATCTTGGAAGGCCTTTCTTGCCGCTTCGCCACAGCACGTCCCTCTCGCCAAAGAAAGGTCGCTTGGGAGGCTCGTGTACGTTTATTTCTAGCCCTTTCTCTTTCCTTCGGCTAAGCCAGACAGAAAAGGCACACAGACAGACGTGTGCACAACGTGCTTCAGGATCCCTCAGGGAAAGCAGCTAACGTGGCGGTCCCTCCGCCCCTTTCCTTCCCCACGGGGTGGCCGCCATGTTTCCAGAACACAAAATGGCGACACGTGGCCTGGATTCGTTGCCAACGAGAAATTGGGGTCGACCCGAAAGCTCCAAAATGCCCCCACCTCCCCACCCCGTGCGTGTTGGCCAGCGCCTTTCCCTCGCAGCCAGTGCTCTAACCACTCTGGTCCAAACCTAAGCTGCCGAATTTGAATGCATTTCCCCCATTAATTTGAAATGGGAATGTTTATAACTGTAAAATGTAGGTGTGATGCCGAGTCTCTCATAGTCTTAAGTTTAATAATGGGTAATGGGGGGGGGGGCAGTGCCAGTGGATGATTTGGGCCCCCAGTTACCAAAGCATTTAGGAATCACTGCTTTAAGAAATAAGATGGGAAGTTACTGATTTCCTAGACCTCTAGCACAGGCTGGTGTGCTGGAGAGACTGAGAAATGGTCTTATAAAATTTCTTAGAATTTCCATGAAGCAGTTTGGATACCTGTGACCATTTTCAGAGGCTAGCTGACCGGTGAACCTAAGTTTACCACAAGTGGTATTAACTTTCAGTATGGAGGGACAGATGTTATTGTGCATTTACCAGCGCAAGATCCTGTGCTAGTATTTTACTGCGTACTATCTTTAATTTTTACAGTGATCTGAGGTAGGTGTTATCTTTTTCTTTCTCTTTTTCTAACAGATGAATTCACGTAGGCCCAGAGAGATGAAGTGACTAATTCAAGGTCACACAGTGGAGGATGGATTCCAGACCTTCTGATTTCCTTATTGGTGAGCACTTTCTCAAATTTTTCTGTAAGTCAGTGTTTTAAAATTTAAGTGCTATTTGAAGTTTAGGTGAGCTTGTCATTTAAAAGAACCTCTCAGGTGACCTTTTGGTGCATAAGTCACCCCGTTTGTATCTTTTAGGGATTCCCAGCTTTTCCTGGTGTGAACTATACCTTGGCTCAAATGCTATTTAAAAAAATTTTTTTAATTAAAAAATTGGTGTCTGGGTGAGAATTGGGAGTGGGAAATGATTCAGCCCTACCCAAAGGCTGAAGTATGTGTCAGTCCAGCCTTGTCTGTGGCACATTCAAGTCTACCTGGCTCTGTGGGAGCAAGCAGTTTCTGACTCACTTGCTTCCTTTAGCTACCCATGGGCACGACTTCCGCCTTCCTCACTCCAGTGTCCCAACCAAGTAAAAATAAATAATTTCACTTTGGCGCCAAGCCTCCATTTCTCTGCAAATATTGACAGAGCATGACAGTGTTAAGGAAATCATGGTCTATGAACTCTTCAGTTCAGTGTAACGAATAACTTGTAGGTCAAGCAAGGAATATGTGCCTGAACAGGGCTCTACTTGTGTGGATGTTAGAGATGGAGAGAAGGGCTTTTTGCTTCTTTTAACTTACGTTAATGTCTTATATCATAGTTTTCAAAGTGCCTTTGCCTTACTTTGTGTAATTCTATAACCAACTTTAATTGGTGGGTACATTATAGCAACAATGGCAGTACTAGCATTAAGTGCTAACTTTGTGACTGGCACTGTTTGAAGCTTTATTCTGTATGTTATTTCAGTGGCTCTCACATTTTTTTTTTGTTTTTTTTTGTTTTTTTTTTTTTTTTTTTTTTTTTTTTTTTTTTTTTTTTTTTTTTTTTTCAACGTTTATTTATTTTTGGGACAGAGAGACAGAGCATGAACGGGGGAGGGGCAGAGAGAGAGGGAGACACAGAATCCGAAACAGGCTCCAGGCTCTGAGCCATCAGCCCAGAGCCTGATGTGGGGCTCGAACTCACGGACCGCGAGATCGTGACCTGGCTGAAGTCGGACGCTTAACCGACTGCGCCACCCAGGCGCCCCTCACATTTTTTTTTTTAAGTTTATTTATTTTGAGAGAGAAAGAGTGTGCAAGTGAGCCCCTGAGTGGGGTAGGGGTATGTGTGTTTGTGGGTGGGGGCGGGGGGCAGAGAGAGAGAGAGGGAGGGAGAGAATCCTAAGCAGGCTTTGTACTGTTAGCATGGAGCTGGACTTGATCTCATGAACCCAACCATGAGATCATGACGTGAACCAAAATCAAGGGTTGGTTGCTTAACTTACTGAGCCACCCAAGTCCTCCCCTCCTTTTTTTTAAGATTTTATTTTTAAGTAATCTATATACCCATTGTGGGGCTCGAATTCACAACCCCAAGATCAGAGTCACGTGCTCCACTGACTGAACCAGCCAGGCACCCCAACAGTTTTAAAAGTAAGCCGTCAAGAGATAACATTTTTACAAAATAATTCATATATACATAGGCATATGTAACAGAAACCAAATCTTTGTAAAACAGTATTTATTTTTACTGTATGCGGTGTACTCTGGTAATTTCTGTTCATTTACATGAAATAAAAAGGTGTATCACAACTGAAGTGACAAACCGTTATAAGGTTGTGACCAAAATGATTAATATACACATTTAATCCTCACAAAACTCCTTAGATGAAAGTGATGCAATTTATATTTTACAGAGATACAGAAAGGTGAAGGATTTTGTCTAACACACAGTTATTAAATAGTAAAATATGGATTTGAATTTGGGCAGTCTGAGCCCAGAGCCTGTATATTTACCACTGAGCTAGATGTGGTCTCTGCAGATGGCCTTGTCTTTAAGGGAGACAGAGTTGTTTAGGGAATTAAAATTATTAGTAAATGTTACAAACAAACTGAAGAGGCCACAAGAGAAATTCTATGTAATGAAGAGTTATATCCTTATTCAGAATACTCTGTTCTGTATGAGGTGCCTGGGTGGCTCAGTCGGTTAAGCATCTGACTTCAGCTCAGGTCATGACCTCACAGTTCATGAGTTCAAGCCCTGCATAGGGCTCTGTGCTAACAGCTCAGAGCCTGGAACTTGCTTTGGATTCTGTGTCTCCCTCTTTTTCTGCCCCTCCCCTGCTCATACTCTGTCTCTCTCTGTCTCTCAACAATAAGTAAATGTGAAAAAAAGTTAAAACAAAACAAAATATTTTGGTCTCTAAATCTGTCACATATTTATTTCCCCTGAAGAAAAATGTATATGTTGGGTCTTTCTTCCTGTCTATTTAAAGCCTTTTTGCCTGAAATTTTCCATTAATTCCTTCTTATCTGAGTACCTCCCTGATTCTACTCACCTCTTCCTTCAATAAAGACTTCCCCTTCCCAGCCTCTCTGTTTCCCCCAGAGTCCTATAGCCCCCACGCCCCCCTGTAGGCTACGTTTGGCTGTTAATTAAATTGTAATCTGCATTGGTGTTGATAGTGTGTTGTACAGGGCATTGGTGTCATGGGTGACCCAGAGATCTGGTAAAGAGGACATTGGACTTGGGAATCTGTGGCTCTGGCCCCTAGCTCCAGCTCTCCCACTGTCTAACTTTGAGAAGTCTACAACCCAGTTCAAAACTGGGCTTTGGTTTTCCCACATGTAAAACAACAGATTAAATGATCTTTTCTAATTCTATCCAGGGAGTGATGATACTTGATGATCTTGGGTATCTCTGGGAGGGAGGAGGATTATGTAAATATTTTACTTATGGTAAATATCCCCCTCCCTTCCTCAGACCTGCAGTATCTTGTGTATACGTGATTGAATTCCACACCACCCATTTTACAGATGAAGCCACTGAGATATGGAACAATTGACTAAATAGTCACTGCCCCACCCCTGGAGCCTCACACATGACTCTTCTCCTCCCATTTGAATGACTGCAGGTTAGTTAAGGGGTTTAATGAGTTTGGGAAGGTGAGTCAGGCTTAGACTTTGGAAATTGAACCACAGGATTTATATTCCATTCAGAGGAGGGATTTTTGCTTCCTTTTACCTCACATTGGCATGTTTATGAAATGTTTTAAAGTGATTTCACATTATTTACTGATCATCACAGACACCCTTGCCATGAAAGTATAAATAGGCCTGTTTTATGGAAGAGCTATTTATAGATCAGAGGAATGAAGTGACTTGCCCAAGGTTACACAGCTTGTCAGGACCTGAGCTGGGTCTCTTGACTTCTAGTTGTGGATTGTTCCTCTCCTTGGCTTTTGATGCTAGTTGCACTGCCTTTGACACATGGAATAGTTTTATCTTTAACTCAGAAAGCTTTCAATCCAGCCTTTATTTTTCTGTCCCAGAGCATCTAGTCCACTTATGTTAGGTTCCTGATTCTTTTGGTTTAAGAAAAGCTCTTTCCTCTTTTTGTCTAATGTTTACATTTATGGGTTTGGGAAGTGGTGGGAATTATTCCTTGATGAGGCTGTGGAGGCAGGGACCACATCCCCCCCCCCCCCCCCCCCCCCAATCTACCTTTTCCAGCAAATGTACTACAGCTTTTTAAATTTGCCCTACCAACATGCAGTTTTGCAAAAAATAAACAAACAAAAAACCAACATGGTTTCTTCTTCTCTTACTCTTTCAGATTTAGCTTCTCATTTTTCTTTTATTTGAAATTATAGTAAATTGAGAGGATATTTACCCTATCACTTTCTGGGATACTACAAAGTATAACCTACGAAATATTTCTTACCCACTTTGTAGATAGGAACAATAGTTATAATAATAATCTCATATACTGGTGTGCTGCCGTTATGGGGTTAATACTGAGTTTTCTCAGAAACTTAAGAAATATATTGGTGTGCCTTACAAAAGTGCCCAGGAAATACAGCAACATCCTTGGTCTAAGTTCTCCCGGTCGGGGAAAGTAATGCCTATGGATTCCCAAGGGTTACTCTGACTGAAATAAGTCATGGAGAATGGAGTGCAGAGAAAAATTAAAGGAAAAATGAGAACAGAGTACAAATGTAAAGTATAGAAAATGAGGAAGGAAAAAAGATAAGAAAAGGAAAAAGACAAGGGCAGAGAAAAGAGGAGAAAACAAGATCAGTGGAACGGATATGAAGAGAACAATTCCGAGGTTCATTTGCTCCTTATGTGATGTGGGAAGCATAGGCTTGCACCAAGAAAGAGCAGCTGGTATGAGAACTCATGAACTGATCTGAAGCACCATGTCTCTTTTTTAATCTTCTTTTTCTAATATCAAGTAGGGAAAATTTGTTTCTACTATCAGCTGGGGATGTGATTAGACACCAATAGTTTCAATATTAGCCTTAGTCCTATTGGTTTATCAAGGAAAATGTGCTATAAAAATCACATTAAAGTATTCCAGGTCAAATTTTATCCTATTCATTCAGTCAGCAATTTTTTTTCAATTATTACTACTTTTAAGTTTAATTTTACTCTCAGTGTGGGGCTTGAACTCACTACCCCAAGATCAAGAGTTGCATGCTCTACCAACTGAGCCAGCCAGGCACCCCAGTCAGCAAATACTTGTGGATTGCTTGATATGTCCCAGACACTAAGGATATAAAAATGAATGAGATCCTGTTCTTGCCTTCAAGATGTTTATGATCTGGAAAGGGACACTGACAAGTAAACAGATTTGCAGTACAATACGTTAAGGTATTAGGATATAAGTAAGCAGAGGATGCTACGGGCTTAGAAGAAGGCCCTTGATTCAGCCTTGGAGGGGATCCAGAATGACTGCCTAGCAAAGATGACATTTAGGCTGAGTCCCAAGTTGGCAGATTACAAGGTGGAGGGCAGGAAAGAGTAACTCCAGGCAGGGAAGCAGAAGCCCAAAGGCAGAGAGTATGCAGTCTGTTCAGAAGTTGAAGCCACTTCAGGAAGGTATGAAGGATGTTTGCATGATCCAGTTTTTCATGATTGTTGTACTGCTTTAGAAGTGTACATTATTGAGACTTGATTATGCTTACTAGAGCACAAAAAGTCTAAATCCTTATTTTGTAGCAGGATTCTCTTTTAAGATGAAGGTATCAGAGGGACATCTGGATGGCTTAGTTAAGCGTCTGACTTCCTGCTCAGGTCATGATCTCACAGTCTGTGGGTTCAAGCCCCGCCGTCATGTTCAAGTGTCGGCTGTGCCTTCAGAAAGCCTGAGCCTACTAGTTTCTACGCCTGTCTCTGTCTGTCCCCTGCTTGCTCGCTCTCTCTCTTTCAAATATTAAAATTTTTTTTTTTTTGTAAAAGATGAAGCTATCACAAATTGTACTTCTGGTCTATAGATTGTAAGAAGAAAATGTAAATAAAGCACAGTCTTTGAATTAGCAAATGGTTATTAAACTTCTGTGCAATAAAGGAAAGAAGGTACAAGGCATAGCATATCTGCCCCGCCATTTTTTTTTTCTTTAGGATTTTATTTTATTTTATTTTTTTTTTTAAATTTTTTTTTTTTTTCAACATTTATATTTATTATTTTGGGACAGAGAGAGATAGAGGCGAACGCGGGGAGGGGCAGAGAGAGAGGGAGACACAGAATCGAAATAGGCTCCAGGCTCTGGAGCTGTCAGCCCAGAGCCCGATGCGCTGGGCTCGGCCACGACCGCTAGATCGCGACCTGGCTGAAGTCGACGAACCGACTGGGCGCCTACCCAGGCGCCTTCAGATTTTTATTTTTTAACTGATTTCGTACCAATGTGTGGAGCTCAGACTTACAACCCCTGAGATCAAGAGTCGCATGCACCATTGACTGAGCAAGCCAAGCGCCCCAGCATATCCCTTTCTTATCCAACTTTTGGATTTGATTGTATTCTGCTTTGTTTTTAAGGAGGTGTATGTGTGGAAGTTTAGGGTCTTTGTTTAGTTGGTTAGGATCTTTGAGTTAGGGGGGAGGGAAAGGATTTCAAGAATAATTGCTACTTTATGGCAGAACAAAAGAAATACATTTAAAAAGCTCTTTTTTTTTTTTTTAATGTTTATTTATTTTTGAGACAGAGAGAGACAGAACAGGAGCAGGGGAGGGGCAGAAGAGAGACAGGGAGACATAGAATCTGAAGCAGGCTCCAGGCTCCGAGCTGTTAGCACAGAGCTGGATACAGGACTTGAACTCACCAACCGCAAGATCATGACCTGATCCAAAGTCAGACGCTTAACCAACCGAGCCACCCAGGTGCCCCTAAAGCTCATTTTTCTGATCTCACCTACTGAGCACAAACAAGACTTAGGGAACATTGTTAGTTAATTCAACCAGACAAAGCATTTAACATTATTCCCTATGTAAAATCTGTTGTGGACATGGATATAGCTGCATTAAATAAAAACCTTATGTGTACTCATTGGACAATACTGGGATTTTACCTGGAGTAAAAGAAAAAAAGTACTGTATGTAGAGTAGGGAAGAACATGCTTGGAAAATAGCACACAGATTCAGTGGTCATTTCTCAGTCATCTTCTTGACCCTGTAGCACCTGAAACTCCCTCCTTGCACGTTAGTTTCATTTGACTTCCAGGATGCCACTCTGTTGGTTTCCCCCCTCCTCACCAGCCCCTCCTTCTCACCCCCCCCACCTTTTGGCTGATTCCTCCTTATCTCCTCAGCCTCTAATGAAGGAGTACTCAGATTAGTCCTTGCATCCCTTCTCTGTTTATACTCATTCCCTAGGTGCTCTCTTTCAAGACCTCAAATACCATTTATACCCTGACAGCTCTCAAGTGTATAGTACTAGCTTGGATGTCTTCCCTTGAACTCAAGACTCATATCCAACTGCCTACAAGATATCATCTCCACTTGGTTATTTAATAGCTTCTTGAGCTTAACATATTCAGCAAATTAATTCTGGAACTTCTCTTCTCAAACATGTACCTCTGCCAATTCTTCCCCATTTTAGTTTCAGTTGTATTGAACATATGGAGGACTCTCCCTTGACTCTCTTCCTTTTCTTGCTCTCTTCATCTAATCTACTAGTAGGTCCTATGAGCTCTACCTTAAAAAACAGCTAGGATTTGAACACTTCTCACCACCTCCCCTGCTACTTTTAGAATAGCCTTCTAAATTGTCTTCCCTCAGTCTAATCTGAACAGTGACCAGAGTCGTTTTGTTAAGTTTATATCAAATCATTCCACTCCTCTGCTGAAAACTATTCACTGGGTCCCACCCATGTTAAAAATTAAAGTCCTTACAGTGATCTAAGAGGCCACGTAGCATATTCAGTGCTCCCCCAACTGCTCTGACCTCATCTTTTATCACTTTCTCCTTGTGCTCTGGACACATTGGTCTCCTTGCAGTTGCTCCAGCATGCCAAGCCTTGAACTTCTTAGTGGTGTTCTTTGCCTGGAATACTTCTTCCAGTTACCAGTATGGTCTCCTCCCTTACCTCCTTCAGGTTTCTGCTCTTGTCACCTAGTTTGTGAAACATTCCTTGACCATCCTATTTAAAGTAAAAGCCATCTCCTGCCCTCTTCATTCCTTCTTCCCTTTTCCTGCTGTATTTTTCTCCACAGAACTCATCACTGTTTGAGGTACTATTCATTCATTCATTCTTCACATATTTATTGAGGGATGCCTACTATGTGCCAAGCACTGTACTGGGGACTCTCTCTACTATAGTCTGTTTATTATTTGTCACCTGCCACTGGAATGTAAATTTCCTGATGACTAGGACATTGTTTTGCTTGTTGCTATATTGCCATCTCCTAGAATAGTGTCTAGCACATTGCAGTTGAATGAATACATTTATTCAGATTTTAAACAAAAACGTATTGAATGTATAGGGGATTGTGTACCAGATAATGAGGGAAAGATACGTATAAATAATATATTGTTCCTGCCCTCAAGTTGCTCAGTCTAAAATATGCTTATTTTGACCTGAACAGTACTGTGTTCTCTAACAGGATAAAGTGTTACATCATTTTGGAATTGGGG